TTAATGTTGAATTAAATTCATGAATGTTTTATAAAGAAAAAAGATTTCAGTATGCACTCGGCCTACTGAAATTCGAACTTCTGTTTACCTAAATCCAGAAGAAAAGTTCATATCTGTGAAGATCAATCCTCGGTGTGCTGCCGTTGACTGCCAATGTCTCAATCTAAAAAATCAAGTGTGGTCCGTTTGTTTTTAATGTGTGAGCAACAATCTCGGTCCAGTCAAACACGTATTTTCCTGATATGTCAGGTACCCAATCCCAATTTCATTCGGTACCGTGATGCCAATTTCTTGATACCTGTCTGGGTGGGGATTCCCCATTATGAACCCGTCGCGTCGCCGGCCGAGCCAACGCTCTGAGTGCATAAATAGATGCTTATAGACTCGATTCAAGTTTGAAACCTTTTCATGCATCGAGGCAAACGCGGGCATGCATGGGCCGTTTGGACCACCAACACTAAGCAAGATTGAGTTGGGATCGCCGATGGTCAAATTTATCTTCTGAGGGGCCAATATTAATTTTAATATTAATTTCTTCTTTCAACAAATATAATTTGAACATTTTCTGCTTTTCTATCCGACTGATATTTCATTCAGCAGGATGATCAAATTTATTTAAAAAAGGATCATTGTGCAGCTTGTGGCGTAAATCTCTGTTGTTGAGCAGTAGGACTGGGGAAAACAGGTGGGGGGGGCTCAGTAAAAACCCTGTCCATGGGGTACACCCATAAATCTGGTTTTGTAGCACCCCTGCACTTTTTACAGTGCTATGAAATTCCCTGGTATTGTCATGGCATGTACTGTGCCCAAATAGTTTTCCCATGTCTTTTCATTTTCTCCAGTGTACCTGTAATACCTAAAGCCTAACACAATAACACATGACGTATAAACAGTGGCTCAGTCATACACTGCCTAAATTGCAAAAAGTAATTGGGATTGTCGGAAAGTCATTCAAATTATGAAAAATATCTTAATATTTGTAATCTAATATCCTATGATCTGTCCATCTTCTTTCTGAAACAAATACTGAATCTGTTCATGTTATTGTTACGTAACCTATTTACTACTTCTGGCTGTCTCTTAATTGATTGCATAAACGGGGGCTCTGTGAACCACCCCTCCTGTCCAAAAACTATCCCCCAACCCCCAGGGATTCACGCCCACGGGTGCAGTTACATTAAAAGGCAAGAACGATTTTTAATTTATATGAAACAGAAAACCTTGGGTGTGCAATGCATGCAGCATGAGTGCCGCATGAGGACTCTGCGCTCGGAATTAAGGCTAAGTTGGCGTGGTTGGAATTCCCAAAGCCGAGTTGCGCAAGCGTTCAATCAACACAGCGCCGGACAAAATAAATTATGCAAAACAAGCAGCGAGGTTGTACCAAAAACAGAACGACTTGTAGTCAAGGTTTAGCATTCACGTCCAAACTGTAAGATCTGCTCTAGTGCTACTAGACTATACACTCCTTGCGACAGCCTTGGGAAACCCCTGATCATGAGTTCCGAGCTCTCTTGTCAGATGGACCATACCGTACACCGGGCCGGGTACGGGTGCATACCGCGTCGACCCATGGCGCATGCGTGGCGCGCGCGGAAATTTGGTAGCCGCGGTTGCTCAGTGCATAATGGTGCAGCGTCCCATTCAAGGATTCTCTTCTAGGACGAGGCGCTTGAAAATTATCCCTGCAGATTCTTTCAAAAGAACGGTCTGTGTGGACCAAGAAATTGTTGAATTGTAAGTATGGCCCAGGATCATCTCTGTAGATTCAGGGGCACTCATGTGGGGGGAAAGCAGACAAAAATGTAACTAAAAATTTGTGAAACTGGCTAAAGGTGAGGGATGTCATTTGAAAAATGGCGGCTGAGAAGACTTGGAAACATTCACTTTTGGGGGTGAGTTTGTTTTGGGCAGACAAAAATTTATTGGTTAATCTACTAAAAATTGAAAATCAAATGAAATCTGAAGGACCAGATAACACATCTTTTTTGAGAGGCCTCGGGGACTTCAGTTGCCTGGCGGGGGGCTCCAAACTTTGTTTATTTTACACTGTTTCCTTGAATGAGCTTGAATTAGGACAGTGAATCATGTACACAATTCGTAGTAAAGTATCCAGCAGGATGTCATGTGTAAAGAACTGCATGGAGGTGACGTGGGGCACGTAAAATTGGTGTATTACTAGGCCTAGGTACAAACACCATGGGACATCGCGGACGCCAACGCGCATATGAAACGCACGTGACGCTTATTTAAATTGATGTGATGAATAGTCTTTTGCCAAAGATAATGTAGCGATGGTACACTATCGGCTTTTTATTTCACATGCGTTACATGGCAGCATACGTAATAGAACGTCATGTCGCCAAATTCTTGCACGAACTTAGCGTAGAATAAACGAATAGGCTTGACACCTCTAGCTTCATTACGATCGTGTAAAGGCATTTTCATGAACCAACAAGTGCGTGTAATGTATTTGTACTGCACTTCCTGGTTCTAAACCAGGTTCTAGAACCACTAAATGTCATGTAAACGGATGCGTTGGTTCACACGCTGGTTCTTGTGCTAATGCCTTTTTATACTTGTGCGCATGACTACTCACTTCGGTATTATGATACGGTTTGGATACGCAGTAACGTGCTGCTCATCCTCCATGTGAAGAAAATTTGGTGCCGTCCTGGACACAGACATTTTGAATTCGTATGCATGCTTGTAGAACATAATTATTCGAAATCAGACAGAATGAATATCGAATTATGTAGTCTGAATGCAATGTGCATCGGGTACAAATAAAATCCAATTAAAAAACTTATTTGCAGTGCATACGCGCACGTGTTTGCATTGTTTACGCAGAGCAAACTTAAATATTCATTTACTGATTTTGCGTGTTGGCTTTTTGATGCACGCATATTTTTTAGAATACAGACATTTGCAGATATGGAAATAGCCGTACTAAAGCCCTACAAAATTGTGCTTGGTAATTTGGTTTTAGGGTTCATTTTGTTGCAGTGACATCAAATACAACACTTGCTGGCCGTTTAGTCAAATCTGCTTTATCAGGAATTTTGTGAGGTAATTAGAAATTTGTATTCAATTTAAGTAACATGTCAGTCAGTAGGCCTGTAAAGTATTGAATTATTGATATGGGCGTGGGGCAAATCCTCAAATTATGTCCAGCAAATGTGTTGGTAATATAATATTCTTGTCAGCTTGGTTCAGCAGATTAAGTGATTTACAAATTGTGACATTTTCAATACAGGCATTTTGGAGTAAACTAGAACTTTGAAGTAAACAAAGGCCTACTATATACTTTGCCAAAAAGTGACACACCAGTGACATTTAACTGTTCGATTTACTGAGATACATTTCTAAGTTGGTCGTTATTTATCTAGTGAAGTTACAGCATCTACTGGGAGCAACTGTCACTACAACACATCAAAGTTTTACTGTTTAATCAATCATAAATCACATAATACATGTTTCAGTAATTCAGGTCTAATTGGAGCCCCATTCCCCTTGGCAAACCAACCAAACAAATATGCTTTGCTACCAAGCATGTTAAAATAACCAAACTTTGTTGCTTTTCATCGTGAGCAAAGTGTGTACAATTCCACAACAGGTGTATTTGGTCATAGCGTGTATTTGGTCAAAGTGTGTACAATTCCGCAACAGGTGTATTTGGTCATAGCGTTTATTTGGTCAAAGTGTGTACAATTCCACAACAGGTGTATTTGGTCATAGCATTAGTGGGATGCTACAGTTACTACGCATAGTTGAGAAGTACATTTCATGTAGCGTCATACACTCATTTGGTACCAGGTGTCTGGCTAATTATGTGGTTAATTATTTTATTGATCAGCCAGGGAAAGATACAAATAAGCTTGTAGATGTTTTCTTACATTCTTTAAATGATCATATTTCAAATCTTTGGACAAATCAGGTTACACATGCATATGTACCGTTGTGTCCACAGGGCAAAAAGAACTTGGACAGCTAGACGCAAGCCCATGGAATAAATACATGATGACTTGGAAGCACAAATGTTGTTGGTTGACATGCATATATTATCATTAAAATGCTTATTAACAAAGTATAACTTAAACTTTCAACATCTTGCATTTTTCTTTTACTTCTGACAAGCAATCTCAGATCATTTAGAGCACATACCTTTTAAAAGCACAACAATGTATATATGAGTGCACCTCATGAATAATAAATATGCTGCTATATTGTGAATATTATTACAATGTACAGATAATGTAGGTAAACCGAAATTCATATTGCCATATATACAAGCTTATTTTTAACTGGGAATACCTGAACAAATACTAGCTCAGGGTATTCCCTTATCCGGTACTTCCATTATAGGACATACATGGTATGTACGTAACATGTCTGAGTATATTCACCGCAACTGCAAATATTAAATATATTTCATGCAATAAATACAGAAGAAAATAAAATGCTCTCTGAAATGATAAACCTGACATAATTCTCTACAAATAAATAAAATGAGAATACATGGGTGTTGCCAGGAAGTACATAAAATATAAAAGCTCAAAATGCCAAGATTTTACTGTACACAGTGACATTTCCATATTTTTTAAAAGGCTACACTGTGTTGTGTTCACAGAAATCACGTTTTATCAGTATGCATAACTTAATTAATGCCTCATATTGTGTAAAAAAAAAAACCCACAGTTTTCATGTTCCTGATGAGGAGACTTCTGATTTACTGACCTTTTCTGCTGATTTACCGATCTTACTGCTGATTTACTGACCTACATGTAAATTTACAGTCCTCAAGGGCTTTGACAAAGTTTTACCAACTTCAATAGACCTTTTTCCTGTGATGTCACGATCATGCTGGAACAATGATGTGTTGTGATGGTAATGAGTGCATAGTGTTGTGATGGCAATCTACTTATTCAAGATAAAACTAGTCATGCATGCAGCGTTTGCACGTGCACTTGCACGTGGTTGAAGCTGCCCGTAGGAATATATGTGATCACTGTGGCCAAGGCGGTCCACACGTGGTGGTATTGTTTACATTTAGTCGCGGGTGAAAAAGGTCTATTGGCACCTTCCCATTTCTCAGACAAATCCTCCTTGGAAGATTTTTTTCTCAACCAGCAGTAGCAATAGTAAACCTGTTGGATTTTGTCTCACCTTCAACAATGCCCTCTGTTATTTAATGCATCTCTTTTCCTCACAGTCAAACAACAAATTTAGCATGACTAATTGCCACCTTCAAATTGCTCTGTGACACCTACGGCTGTCACAAAAGAAAATCTCTCACTGAGCCTTACCTATAAGAAAGTCCTCAAGTTGAAATCCTTCCTTTGACTCAGTGATTGAGGCAACGACTAAGCCTTTCTTACAGACGTGCTCATTGGTCTCACAGAATATAACCTCATTAACCTCATTGCCCATCTCACTACAAATCTTTAAGAGGTTCTTCATCTCCTCTGCAGCCATGCATGGTTTCTACAAGAATGTCTGGCCAAGATGTCCACATCACCTAACTCTACCAGACCGTTAAATCATGTACCGGTATCTATGTCCACCACAGTTTCATATAAAAGAGCACCCTGGATGCTTTCCTCTTGATGGCCCTGGTTTCCTGGCATGACTGGGCGGGTGGTAAGGGGCTGCAGGGAAGGGTTAGCTTTCACGTTTACAGCATCACCTGGTCAAAAAAGTTGGGAGGGGGGTGCAATAGGAAAGTGGTCAATTCCTTCACTTGATAATGATTTCCAACTTCTCACCAATGCAGAGAAGAGTAGACCGATCAAGTAAGCCGTGCCCACTGCATATGTGGGCATTGAGCATGTGTTCCTCTCCGATACCACCCTACGTGTTCCTGCTGTGCATATCATACGTGCGTGCGTGCATGCATGTTGGACTTTGCTGCATGCATGTTGGACTTTGCTGCATGCATGTCGGATATAAATCAAGGCTATGAGTATGGATGGGTCTGTTGCGTGTGACTGTGAAGCCTCATTGAAACCTCAATTGCAAATGTGCAGAATCAAAGTGGAAAAATTGAAATTCTTGATTATGAACAAAGCACACAGAACTCACAAAAGATGTGTATCAGGCCAGAAGGGGAAAAGAGGGCAGTGACATAAAGGAACATTGTGGAGAACATACCTGCTAAAGATTTCTTGTTCTCAGAATGTCTTTTACGCATCCTGTATTGAAGAGAACAAAAAAATATGAGAATGTGTGTCTTCATTACCTGTACATAATTCAGTTACATGTACATCATGTATTTTGACAGTACAAAAAAAATCCCAGAATGCAGTGGAACTTACGACACATCTTTGATGAGAGGTCAAGTGCAGAATTCACTTCACTCTGCCAAATATTCTTGCGTTCAAATCAGTACGGACCCAGCCACTTGAAACCAAACTTTTCTATTGCTCCACAGTCAGGGCACTACACATTGTCATAAATTTGGAATGTTGTCCTTAGATTAATTTGGATTTACTTGAATGAAAACCAACCTTTTAACTACTACAACTACACAAACAACCACCATGAAGAATGAAACTGCAACTGAAGGTATTACTGTAGCTTCAATCCAGTGGAAAGCATGCCGGTTAGTCCCTTTGTTTTCCACTTCCGTAGTTGGAGAAACTGTAAAAGCTAAAAAAATTAACATCTGTGAATTTTTGAATGTTTACCACAAATATTTCAACATATTTTAAACTGCATCTTCTATTGACATTTTATCAATAATTTCTTAAGCTGTGATTTAGAATGTGTTACAGATATCGTTTATGTGTAGAAGAGACATTTGCAGAGAGTACGGCAGAGAATCTTGTAGAGAAATGACTACAAGATTTACTCAATGTTGGTTTTACACGGGCAGTGTAAAGTACATGTAGATTTAAGAGCTAGCTAGTGGGAAGGATCAACGTTGATTGGAATCACTGTAACAAAAAAGTGACACAAGCGAGGTCACAGCTGCTATTTCACGATGGGACATTTTTGCCATCATAATTTGGCACTGTGTATTACATGTATGTGATTCATACCGGTAGCTTCAAGACAACAGTCTGCACTTATGAATATGAGCTGCCGTGGTTGTAACATATGTGCCCATTGTGAAAGTCATAAGCTTGTGACTATAGCCACTTTACCGTAGACACTTATGTTAGTTTCACTCGCAAGCGGCACTTTCAGACTGAGCATGCCTATTTGGAGATCCTTGGGATGTTACTCCGGATAGCCTGATTAGTCCATAGCCGTTATGTTTGAAATGTTTTCTAGAGGTTTGTAGGTTTTAATTGTCCCATGGCAGTCTCTTTCTATTGGTTGCCCAAAACTGGACAACTTATTCGGCTGAGTTCCCTGACCTGTTTAAAATAGAGAAATATCCCTACCTGGACTGGTGGAATGCCAATCCTTCCTTCTTCTTCCTTCCTTCGACAGTTTAGAGATGTGCACTTCCACAGTGCTTCCATTGTTTTGGCCCATTGCCAAGCCAGTCGCTAGGCAACGGAAAGTGATGTTTCCACTGAAGGTTCCATTAAAAGACAGCGATGTGTTGACCACAAAGTGTTCTGTTGAAAAAGAAATCTGAATACATGTAGCCAACACTACTAAAGCAGGTTGAGACAAAACATAAAAAGGCTTCTAAATTATTTAGTTGAAGCACTGTTCTGGAAAAGGGAGTGGGTACGTGTATTGCCATGTCAAGAGGCCTGGCTACAATCAGGGTTTAAACTGATCCAAGTGCTCATTGACACTGGACTGCATATTTTCACTCAAGAATTTAATTGGGCTGTGGTGAGCATGGAAACATGGTGTCCTACCTGTGCCAGGAGTTCCAATGTGGACAACCTGTTCCACCACTTCAAGACTGCCATTTGCCAATACATGGACCAGATGCAGATCGACAGCTGGTCTAGCATTGCCAATGTGGCAGTTAAGGGTGTACTCGGTCTCATCAGCAGGGAGCTCTATCCGGCAGCAGACATTGCGATCTTTGGATGAACCGCACTCTTCAACCCAAGGGATGGGCTCACTTGGTCTCACTGAAATGTTAACATGCAAATCCCATGCTTGAAATAGTCGTGGTCCAAAATACAAATAAACCAGTTTCTGAAAGTATCAGAGAATCTCTTTTGACCCCTCACCTTGGGACTGAGGTGAAGTGGGTTTGAATCCAATTTGAAACTAGCGCTCTTTTTTCTCATCAGGAGACCCTCGATAAACTCATTCTGAACAAAGGTTTTGCAAATGCACTGCACTACTCATTTGAGAAAAAATAAATAGATCGGAATGGTATGTTTTATACTAACTTGTCCTGTCTTGAATCCAAACCTCTCTTTACTTAAAGTGAGATTTTCTCATCAATGTGGGGCCTGGTACATGTAGGTAAGCGGCCATCCATTTTTTAAAAAAAGGTTTTCTTCCAGTGAAAAAAGAGTACCCTTTTTCTGGATCACCTATCCCCTTTTGTGTAAAAACTGAGACGGAAGAAACAATGACTTCTGCACATATTTCCACATTTCATATTATCTGAAAAGCATACATATATGTGGCAACCAGATCTTCCCCCAATGTCCAGTTTGTACGTTTGTGGAAGTGATAAGAAAGATAGATGACCCCTTAGTCACTTAATTAGTACATACGCAAGTAACGGTCCATATTGATTCTTTGAACTATGAACTGCAATTGTGCATTACTGACCAACAACTGTGACGTTCACTGGCCTCCGTGCTGACAGCTGGTGATTCCTAACCACTCTGCTGACGTACTTTCCTTCATCTGTGTCGCTGACATTGTTGATCACCAGCGCAAAATGTTCTCTGGTGATATTGTACTGTCCACTTTTGGCTCCAGGTCTGAGGGTGGTGTGGCCCTCAAACCAGGATATCACCAACTGTTCCTCTTTATACCAATAGGCAGAGGTAATCTGCCAGCGGTTAGACTCTTTAGTAGCGTGAGGATTTTGAATCACCCCACGGTGGCCCCGCTCAAGGTATACATGTCTGGGAGCCAAGATGTCCTTGCAGGAAGCTGCAAGATAAAACGTTAATTATACAAACCAAAGTTGAGAATGACATGTGCAGCATGCTTACAGCTTTTCAAATGAATAGCTTATACACAAAAAAGGTCAATTTTAGAACAATGTATGTGAGTTATCAAAACAAGTCCAAAATACTTGCATTCTGAATGCTGCATTCATCAAGGTTGTTTCTAAGTTATCATTTTCCTGTTATTTATGTATACTGAACAACTTAAAAATTTACTCCCAGCTTAAGGTATATTACTTTTGGACTTTTCTTCAAGCATCATCAGCAGTCAAGTTTGTTTCAAATACACGTAAATATTTAGTTTAAATCACATGAAAAATTATCTTCAAAAGTAAGTATGAATTGCTTATTGGCTACACAAAATGGGTGTTTTCTTGAGAGAGCAGCCACAGTAGTTGACAAATTCTACAATCCTTCAAACTGTCAGATTCCTGTCCTTAACTATAAGCATAGTTTCATGACAGTCCATTTCAGTGCCTTACAAGTTATTGTTATGTTTTCACTTCCAGGTAAACTGCAAAATGGCAGATGAAACTTGCATAATATGTGTATCAGTACTTACCGACAACTGTCACATTCACCTGGCCTCGCAACAGCTGACCGTTCTTCGCCACCTTCACTGTGTAGACCCCTCCGTCAGTGTCAGCCACATTGTGGATGACTAGATCAAACTCCTCTGAGATGTTGAATCTGCCATCTTCAGCTCTGGAGGCAGGGTAGGTTTGGCCTTCATGGTACGAAATCAGACGGACACCGTTCTTGTACCAATAGGCCGAGGTAACCTGTTCCAGGTTTGCCAAATTATCCACAATTGGATTTGGGACTTCTCCGGGCTTACCCCTTTGTAAGTACATGTATACCAATCTGGAGCCTGATTCAGCACTACTCCGTGAAGCAAAAACTGCAAGATTAAATCACACGAGCTGATCATTAACAATGACGTGTAATAAGCTCATAAAAACTGTCTGGCAATATATTCCTGTGGGGGGGGCAGACTTCATTGGAAAAACACAAAAAATGTATGACCCATCATCAAATGGGTTCTCGAGGCTCTAGATCAAGAACAAGGGTGTGAAAACAGCTTGAAACATTTAGAATTCTGTTTTGTTTCTGAGAATTGTGTGAAAAAGAAGCTAGTGAATACAAAGTAATTTTTAGGGGGGGTTATTCCAATTATCCTCCTGCCTCTGTCATACAAATACATGTACCTAATGGCAACCTAACACATAAATGAGGCTGATAGCTTTTTTATCATACAGCAATGGTAATCCCAAAATCGTATGCTTGTATAGTATCAAGGACATGTCATTGACCCGTGGTGACCCTAATAGAGACAATTTCAGTATACAAGTAAAACAGTTGGATATTTCTGTACCTCACACGGTCCGTCGCTTACAGAGCCAAATACTGTGACAGAAATGACAAGGATTCATATTCCATGTATTTGCTAAATGATTCCCCAAAGTGATTGCTTTGTACTGAAGTCAGCCTGAGATGAGGACCAGTGACAGGTAAACAAAGGATTTGGTGTTAGGGGAAAAAGGATGTGTGGTGTGTAGGTCCATGATCCCCAATGGTGGATGGGGAGGGGTGTTAAACAGGGACATGCCCACCCCACCTACCTCCCAGAAGGTGCTCTAGATCCACCTGTGATCATATGCACTAATATTCTAACCCAGAGGATACTTCAATGATGACCAGACAGTCGATATGCAAGAGCAGTCTGAAGCAGCTGTGCGGGGTACTTACGAGTACTTAGAGCTAGCAATACACACAACGGTAGTTTCATGCTGAAGAAGTCGGACAACAGATGGAAATTATGGTGGGTGCTATATAGGTACTACCAGGGGAACCACACAATACACCGATGTAGACAGTCTGTCTGAAAGACACGAGAGAAATATTCACTGCAAGTGCTATAAAGTCCCCAAACCAAACTTAACCCTAACACTCCTCAGTCCTCCAACAGGTGAAGGCTTGAGGAGGGTTAGGGTTAAAGAAGATTATGTGCAATTGATGAGAGTGAAGGAAGTGAAGGTTGCATATGTAGAAACCGCTGGCCTGGTGGCTGCGGCCACATTCCATACAGGTGCGTTGCTTGCAGCCAAGATTCAGACACATGCTGATTTGACGCTGCAACATGCTGCAAAACACCCCATGAATTGCTGCACCTGTTGTGGTGCAGTAGTCCTTGCCGTTGTACGTGAGATAATGTGATGTGCATAATGTTTTATATTGTGGATGTGACATGCCTAAAACGACAAGGTGTGCATGGTATCACATTCAGTTACGGTTAAAAAAATGAATTGAACTTTTTAGCGGCATTCTACTGTATGATGTTGCCTTGTTCGGCAGTCATTTCTGACAAATTAAACCACCAGTCCAACTTTACCTCATGAGCTCCAGGAAAATAATAGGGAGGTCTAGGGCTGGGACAGTCAAACAAAAGGGTGGAGAATTTATAAGTGGCCAAGTATTTGGAACAAGACTGTTAGGCTGAAAAAAGCCAAAAAGATTCATCCCGACACACAACTCTCTTAAATCTAGTCCAGTGCATGTATGCAGTAACAGGGGAATCCCCTTGTGTTTTGCAACCTGGGGACATTTGACACTTGCACAATCACTTGACATTTGGCTGGCTGCCAAGGGCCAACAGAGTAGCCGCAGTAAGCAGCCATTCATTACTGAACCTCTAGAGGCCAGTGGAGAAAACCTTTGGTGAACTCTGATCTCTCACCGCTTATCTTTAAACTTAGTACATGAAAATAATATATTGTTTAAAATTTTAGTCACCTGCGAATAAATCAAGTTTATCTTGCACTATGTTTCAGGTTTTCATAGCCAGGTCATCTTAACTGAACTCTGCACAACTGAAAATAAAAAAAATGTAATGGAATGCGGACTGTAAATGATAAAGAATAGGAGGATGTGGTATGCTTCCTACAGTTGGTTTTGATATGTTTCCACAGATTGATGAACAGGATGTTTTATTTTGATTATAAAAGCTAGTGTCATGAACAGGTTAATTTCTTTTTCATCTGTAAGAGAATCCTCACCCTAACAGGTTGCAGTAATTAATCAAAGCACTGGAACTCTCACTAGAAAGGCAACATGTCTCCCCCTTGATATGTTTTCTTCCCGTGGTATGTTTGGGGTCAAAATAATGACTTGGTTCTCTTGTTTTCTTAAGTAAATTGCATTAAGTGGTTTGAGGACAGCATCAATGCACTTTATTCTTGCCCAATTATAAATTCACTGAGAAGAAAAAGGTTAACTGATTTTTAGTAACAAGCTCCAAGAACAATTGCTGTACCGTATTCAGTAATTTATTATCAGGGTGAGTGAGGCCAAGAGTTTCGTTAATATGTTTAGCTTGTAATAAGCTAGGTCTTAAGCTCTTGGGATAGGGAGATTTACTTTTGAGCCTCAAGAGCTGGGTTAGCCAGTTATCTATGCTAGCTTAAAACAAACTTGGAAGTCAAAATGAATTTGCCACATTTAAAGGATAGCCACTTCATCTTCTAATGTTATCTTTTAATTTCCACAAAACATGCAAAGTAGATGAAATATGAGTATGGAAGCATATGTACTGTCTTGATGTTTAAAAAAATGGCTGCTTTACATGAAAAAGTAGAGTGTTGAAAACAACATGGTCTGCCGGTAGTCTGAGAAACGAGGCCTCTACAAATCACTTCATTTAATATTTGAGGAAGGTCAGCGATACTACCACTCATTATATGAAAGTATTAAAAGAGGTGATATGTTAAGCGCTTAAGGCCACTTAGCACGAAACCAAACACAAACACAAATTTGTCCAATCAAATGTTGGCGTTGCGAATTTGTGAAAGTTGAACCCATTTTAACTCGAGCTAAATTTGCTGCAAAAATTTCATGAGGTCAAATTCACTTCCCTTTCACATTCGCTCGAAGTATGGACCAGCCTTTACTTGGACTAGTCTGCCGTTGATACATCCACGATTTGAGACGTGTGGAAGAGCCAAGGAAAACATGTTTGTACTTACACTCGGTACAGCTAGCTTGTAAGGTAAGCCTTCTCTATCGGTAGTATTGGCGTAACTGCTGGGACGCACAAGGGATTTCTGCGACTTTCACGATTGACCATGGATGGATACTGTCGCTCGCATGCACTGATTTCCTAACGTAATATGTATCAGTGTTTACATCACGTGACATTCATTGATGGAGCGTGTCTGGTAGCCAGTTCCTTTTTACTGTTTCCAGCGTTTATAGGATGTAGACAGTTGCCTGTGTGGAAGTAACGTCATTGACCGAGTAAGGGGAAACACCGTATTGACAAAGAGAAGTGTTGCAATAGGCCGGTCGCACCAAAGTCAGATGACGCGGAAATGGAGTACGTCACGGAAATCTACCTGTACTTTTGTAGTAAAGATGGTGACCTTTCGTTGTTTATAAATAATTATTCACAGTCGTGTGGTTTCGGGAGCCCTGGATTTTTGCTCAGATTTTGGATTTTTTACCTGGAGTTGCAGTATTTTATATTGTTACTTCTTGTGCAGTCCGAGTGAAGGTGCCTTTCCAACAATTGCTCCCCGGCCGGAGCAATTTTGACGGGCAAACGCAACGTACACACGCACACGAAAAGGATCTGTGTGGGTCAAGTTTACATAATTATCCATGATCAGACTAGTTTTTGAGAACTTGTGCCTTCAAGTTGTTAAATCCCTGAAATTGTGAAACACAATTGTGATGTACACAAAGTTCGGTCACAAACATGATGACTCAGAATCTGCTGATATGCGGTAATCATTAGGCTGCAATTATGCACGGACCATCCGGACACGGACGTCCGTGGTCACAAGCTGAATGAGGACTTGGCAAGGTTCCATATTAGACCATGGAGGAATAAAACACTCCCCGGCTCGAGGGAATGATCTCGCTGCAACCAGTTGTTGCGTCAGACGGGATCTTCCCTGTATTGCAACAAACGCCTTGGAAACAAAACTCGGCCAAAAATTGAGGACCTTCTCGTGCCGGGGTATTTTGCAAGAATTTTTTGGCCGGGATGCCGTGCGAGGTGCACCATTTGCATTATCATTTTTCCACAATGAAAACATATCAAATGTATATGGTGCAAAACAAAACCAAAACTTTTTTTCATGCTTGGGCAGTTTCTCAAAAACAAACACCCCAAACAAAAGAAAAGAAAACTGCCATTTCAAAAAATAACGTGAACAATTAAGACACCACCTTTTGGGGATTTTTTAAAATTTTGTTTTTAATTGTGGCATCCATTTCCCCCTAAAGAATTGAAGTTGAAAATGCATGATTCCGTACTTTATGAAAGGGAGTAATCAGTATCTCGTCCCCCTCAACTTTCAAGGGTTTTCTTCACCTGCGATTCACCCCAGCCCTACCCAAGTTTTCCTTATTAATTGAATTCACAACTGTGCAGGTTATGGTTCACCTTGTGTGACCTTGACGTGACACACTAACATGGAGATCAATGTCAGTGCCAACTTCGTATTTTTGAAGTTGCAGCTGCAGGCCAGTAAATCTGCCCAAAATTCCCTGCCCGGACCGAATCAGTCAAATTCTGTACTATGAAGGCATTTCCTACCACGTGGACTAGATGACTTATAAAGGGGAAAGAAGGGTACGTGGGAGACCGCCAGCTGGTATTTCTGAAAGTATGACCATCGGACCAAATGGTTCTCATACACAGGCATGTCTGTGTCCTCGCGACCAACGTTTTAGGGGTGATTATCGCTCGAAAGAAATATCCTCAAAAGTCATTGGTGAAGCCACAGAAACTTGAAAGGAAAATAAAAGATGAGGAAGGGAGCCTTTATTTGATATGTTTCTTTAACACCCGAGAAACTTGTATTTTTCCCGATTTTTTTGAAGAGGGGGTAATTACGCTGTTCAATCCGAAATGTGAAAACGCCCTCAAGAGTTTACAACTCTGTTTACTAGTTTAGTTATTGTGCCTTTCGCATATAATAACGTTAGATTTTGTAAAATTTGAATGAATTATGCAAAACGTAGGAGACCAATGGGGCCTCAATTTACAGGGAGTGCTTCTTGACATTTCAGGTGTCTTATATGACAGCGGAGATGGTGGCGGAACGCCTATAGCTGGATCTATTGAAGCCGTCAAAAGGTGGGTTTTCCCTAGACTAGACATGCTAGCCGTACGTAATCAGGACCCAACGAATACTCCTCCGTCGTAATGGCTAATACTTGGCCCTGTCCCGATTAATCATGTTAATAGGGNATTTCTTTCAAAAACTTTATCCGGGAAAACGAAAACTTTATCGTTTATCCAGTATACGATATCATTGATGTAAAGCAAAAATAAGAGAGCGCCGAGGACTGCCTTGAGGCACACTGGAGTCCACAGAATCCGTATCAGAGCTAGATCCATTGAACACCACTCTTTGTTCAGGCATAGCACCTACATGTAGCACCCAACTAAAACCTTTTCAGTACAGTGTGGGAAATCTTTATAGTGCAAAACATTGAAATTTCAAGCACATTTAATGTAAAGGTTAAGAGTTTGAGTCAGTAATTCAGATTTTCTCCATAGACGGCTACACTACCCTTGTGAGTTTCGAGTGTGAAAGATGGAATAGCCATCAATTGACCAATCAGAGAGAAGAATCAGGGACGTCATCTTGACCTCGAGAATCAAGAATCAGTGACATCATCTTGACCTCGAGAATGGTACACAGGGCCGGACGTATACTCCTTCACCTCATTACCAGCTCGGTGCTGAATATTCCAGATTCCATTTCCAATTTGAAAGAATTCCTTCAGAGAGCAAAAACATGTCCAGAAAAATTCAATTTAGGAGGGAAAAAACCAAGTCATTTACTTGAAAAAACTTCCTCTGCTGCTTTTTGCCTACAAATGGTGGCCCTGGGGGAATATTGCCAACTGTCGATGTTGACGTCAATATTTGTGACCAAAATGTGCGACCCACTCTTCGGTCGCAAATATTGGCATCAGTATTCATGACCAAATTCACGACTTGCTCTCTGGTCGCAAACATTGCTGTCGGTACCCAAGACCAAACTCACAACTTGTATCTTGGGTCGCAAATTGCTGTGAATTTTTCTCTAGCAAGCCAGGTAGAGAGAGAACTTGCTCGGCTATAGACACAGCATGTGCTTTAATTTTAATGTTACTTTCAAGTATATATTGGCTTGTGTTTTTACTGTAAATATCTACCGTGTCATGTATGCACATACATGTAAATGGTTGATATACATGTGCATGTTTTTGCTTTTTTGTTTTTTTGGTTTTTTATTGTCCTGCACCACTGTTTTGACTGTAATAAATAAAGACTTTAATACACAATCTGTCCCAAGGTTACATGTGTGTAGAACTCTTTCTCTTTTTCTCAACCAGGTTAAAGCTCTATCAGAATCAGTGTATACAAATGAATCTCCCGAGGGGATCTCCCGAGGGAGAACCGTAAATAAATGTATTGATGTTTTTATCCTGTAATTTATGATTTCCCTCACACAGTGTCAAACTCTGCCTTCCATAAACTTACTGTTCCGATATTGAAATTCTCCAACATTGTACGTGTATGTATTTTATAAGAATCGATAATTTACGGGCAAACCGTTATATATACGGGCAAACCGTTATATATAATTAACATCTTCCCAACGCAAAAAAAAAATANCTTTCTTTCAAAATCTTTATCCGGGAAAACGAAAACTTTATCCCTTTATCCAGTATACAATATCATTGATGTAAAGCAAAAATAAGAGACAGCCGAGGACTGTGCCTTGAGGCACACTGGAGTCCACAGAATCCGTATCAGAGCTAGATCCACTGAACACCACTCTTTGTTTAGGCCATGGAGGAAGGAACACAGCACCTAGCACCCAACTAAAACCTTTTCAGTACAGTGTGGGAAATGTTTATAGCACAAAAAACTGAAATTTCAAGCACATTTAATGTAAAGGTTGAGAGTTTGAGTCAGTTATTCAGATTTTCTCCATAGACGGCTACACTACCCCTGTGAGTTTTTAGTGTGAAAGATGGAATAGCCATCAATTGACCAATCAGAATCAAGAATCAGGGACGTCATCTTGACCTCAAGAATCAGTGATGTCATCTTGACCTCGAGAATGGTACACAGGGCACGACGTATACTCCTTCATCACCTCATTACCAGCGCAGTGCGGAATATTCCAGATTCCATTTCCAATTTGAAAGAATTCCTTCAGAAAGCAAAAACATGTCCAGAAAATTTCAATTTAGGAGGGAAAAAACCAAGTCATTTACTTGAAAAAACTTCCTCTGCTGCTTTTGCCTACAAATGGTGGCCCTGGGGGAATATTGCCAACTGTCGATGTTGACATCAATATTTGCGACCAAAATGTGCGACCCACTCTTCGGTCGCAAATATTGGCATCAGTATTCATGACCAAATTCACGACTTGCTCTCTGGTCGCAAATATTGCTGTCGGTACCCAAGACCAAACTCACGACTTGTATCTTGGGTCGCAAATTGCTGTGAATTTTTTTCTAGCAAGCCAGGTAGAGAGAGAACTTGCTCGGCTATAGACACAGCATGTGCTTTAATTTTAATGTTACTTGTGTTGCTTGTGTTGCTTATTGGCTTGTGTTTTTACTGTAAATATCTACCGTGTCATGTATGCACATACATGTAAATGGTTGATATACATGTACATGTTTTTGCTTTTTTGCTTTTTTGGTTTTTAATCGTCCTGCACCACTGTTTTGACTGTAATAAATAAAGACTTTAATACACAATCTGTCCCAAGGTTACATGTGTGTAGAACTCTTTCTCTTTTTCTCAACCAGGTTAAAGCTCTATCAGAATCAGTGTATACAAATGAATCTCCCGAGGGGATCTCCCGAGGGAGAACCGTAAATAAATGTCTTGATGATTTTATCCTGTAATTTATGATTTCCCTCACACAGTGTCAAACTCTGCCTTCCATAAACTTACTGTTCCGATATTGAAATTCTCCAACATTGTACGTGTATGTATTTTATAAGAATCGATAATGTTTGTGCAGTTCTAAACAAGTGCCACAGTTGAGCTAGCCCAGCTACAGCTTGTAAATTTTTCAACATTTTCCGTTTTTGTTGCAGCTAATGCTAATAAGAGGGATCATACAAATGCTCTTTGCCAGTTGTAAGGCAAATCAACTCATACATTTTTTTACAACAGTTTTACTTGACAGATATCTGTGCATGTATTTCGTTCACTTTGTGTACCCAGATTGAAAACGTCAGGCCTGAAGGTTCGTTTCTGTACCAATGAGTCGCAGTGCACCCGCCAGACTCTGGTGGACAAGCTCCGACGGCTGGGCTTTGACATCAGCCTGGAGGAAGTCTTCTCCCCAGCCCCTGCAGCCTGCCAGCTGGTCCGAGAAAGGGGACTCCACCCATTCCTGCTAATCCACCCAGGTCCGTGGTAATTTTTGTCAAACTTGGAATAAGAATAGACAGGTGAAGTGAATGCAGGAAATCGTGCAAATGCAATGTGGAGATTCACTCTCTACACTTATACATCACTCCCATGCCTTTAGGCACCACGTAGTTGAGAGTTAGCGCAAGCGCACGTGATCACGTTACTGTGGATTTCCAGGTAGACGACATTGGACACCCTTTCCGCCGATTAAGACCATAATTTATTTTAACAAAATACAAAGTTCACGGAGATAACCTGATAACCGAGAATTGATTAGATAACATTAGACCACCGTATTCTATGAACCCACTGGCACAAAATTTGAACACGACCAGATTTGAAAGAAAAATTCCACAGTCATTCCCATTTTGAAACTATTTCTCCAGTTTAATAAAACAAACGAAATAAAGTGCCGTGTGTATTAAGACCTAATAAAACATCAGTAGTATTGCCAAGTTATTGGGAATGGGATACGTATACGTGCGTTGATGTACGTGTACACACAAATCACGGCCGCCCATCAATCGACAGGGGGCAAAAACTGAAATGGATAAAACTAACGAAGAACAATTCGCAATACCTCAAACATAAGATGGTGTTCTCTTTCAAACACTCTTTCAATTACCAAGATATTCAGCATGTGTGCAAACACTGGAGAACAATTCAAAATTTTGATTTTAAAATAACTTTTTTTTACGTTCAAAAATGTAACTTGCATTGATATCTTTCACCCCATTTTCTCAGAAATGTCACTTATTAAAAATACACATCACAAAATGAAATTTGAAGCCGGGTTTTATTTCTCTGGTATAAATTCAGCAAACTTGTTACATATTGTGGAAGATCTGCGCAGATGGATTTTGGTATAGTCAGTTGCTGGCTGGCGTCGCCATTTTATAAAGTGACCCCGACTTCGCCAAATTTTAGTACATGCACACATACTAAATTGAATTGATGAACAGACGTGTAATGAATGAAACTCGCCAAAATTTCCACAGGCTAGAAATCAAGATTTCTGGTATCTCATTTACAATTCAGAAAGAGACTTCTCAATAATTTGCATCCAACAGTGACACCAAGTGACTTCATTTGAGGTAGAAGGCTGTGTTGTAAAGTTATGAGTGTGGCTGGTATTTAACATATGGGCACCAATGTAAACCCTAGGTAGGGGACTGTAGCCACTTCCAATAGACGTGTTACGCTTAGCTACAACCAGCAAAGTGCCATTCAGTAGTCTGGGGCCATAGTTGTTAAGGAAGGGATCTGTTAAACAACAAGGAAGCAGATTTGTTTTGACAAACACTTTTCATGCAGCACAGAAGTAGTGGTGGTTTGACTGCTTCCTTTGGCGAAATTTATTTTTTTCATTGTGCCTCCAAATTCAGCTCCTATAAGTGAAGTAAAGAATGAGTATTTACAAGATCTAAAATTTGACCAGAACTTTCTTTTTTGTCTTACAGTTCATTTATCCACACTGATTTCATCCTTTTCCAGATGCTGTGTCAGACTTTTCTGAGTTTGACCTCTCACTAACGCCTAACTGCGTTGTGATTGGAGATGCTGCCATGCGTTTCAGCTATGACAGGTTGAATGCAGCCTTCCGCATATTGATTGGTCAAGAACACCCTGTGCTGATCGCCATGGGGAAAGGGTATGTGTTTTGTGCCTTGTCCCCAAACAGGCATTGTCATCTGTTGCTATTGGGACCAAACTTTAAAGCTCTGCTTAACAATTAGCAAAAACTTTTGCTTACTGTAATAGAAACCAATGCCGCTGACTAACTATTATTGCATGACGTAGATGATTGGACACACCTCGAGATTTTCATTATAGCATCACTGCTTTCTCCTTTGGGGTTAAGCATGTTTTCTGTGCTGACTACTTAGTGGCCTGTGTGAGATAGTTGAAGGCTCTGTAAGCACAAAGTTGGCTGTTAAGTAGTGCTATAAACTCGAGCCAAGATATTATCACTAGTCCGCATACACCGCAGGCTTGTTTCAAAGAGCCACTGGGTTTCAAAATCACGGCAATGCTTTTTGAGGATTCCCTGTGATGAATTTTGTCCCAGAGTGGAACACCTCTGTTGAGCTAAAAGTCAAGGTATTTAACTTGGTTTTTGATATCAAATGTTTGAAACTGTTTCTCGTTGTGTATCTGAAGATGAAGCCAAGGCAGAAGGTGATGCCAAGATTTTGAAAAAAAGGCCAGTTTACTTGAAAGACTCAAGAAATTGACTCAACTACACGTACGTGACTACTTTGTTGACACCATCCTGCTTTTGATTTTCCCAGGCGTTATTACAAGGAAACAGATGGCCTGATGATGGATGTGGGCTGCTTCATGGCAGCATTAGAGGTGAGCTTCTGGGTGCTTCGTTCTTGTAAGTTTGAAGCATACATCATTAGCGTAGTCCATTGGTTATGGCGTCTGATTCATGTACAGTGGCACATGTACCTGTCTTATCAGCCAAACCTTGGGGAAGATGGTTCAGAGCGTAAATGAATAGTGGTGATTGTAGACTGATACTGCTGATTTTGAGTCTCTGGTCTGACACCTTGGCTCAGTGAACAGGGTTGATAGTTGTGAACACCTGTAAACATTCAAACTTGTAAAAATCCTCCAATTTCTATATGATTTTACATCCACCCAAAGTGAATACGTAATGCTCACTTTTACATGTGTGTGTATCCATTAGCATGAGAACCAATGCTTCATCTTATACATGTGTGTACTCCTTGGATTGTAGTGCATTTCTTGGTTCAAAATGACGCCATGCTTTGGTACTTTCTTTGATCACTATGCTAATTTTTATAGTTGTTTTATAATTGTGGTTGTGGTGGCAATCTGCCCAGCGTTGAAGTGCACCCCATGTCGGCAAAAGAAAGACAGGTGGGTCTAAGTTTTCCAACTGGGCTCTTGCACATATTTTGTGTGTACGCAAAGACCATACATTTCCGAATAAATTTGTTTCGCGTTCTCATCATGCTCAACATGAAATGCACCTGTACTTGCATGTCTGTGCGGTGAGGTAGAACCAAAGGACTGTCAATTTCATGTTATACAAGCACACCCTCTTTTGTTCTGCTCGGAGCGGATTGGGGGTCACTAGGCACGTTCTTGCAACAATCATCTGTAGGATACCCTGTGCATTTCTCAAACAATATTCAGCTTTTTGGACCAGAGTTTGAGAGCACAGCTTGTTTGTACTTCTCTCAGTATGCTACAGGCTGCAAGGCAGAGGTTGTCGGCAAGCCTGATAAAGGCTTCTTCCTGGCTGCCGTGAATGACATGGGAATCAAACCAGAACATGTGAGTCATCAGATAAACCGTCAGTACTTGCTAAAAACTTCATTTGTTGCATTGTTGTTTACCCACAGTCAGCATTTTAAATAGTGCCTAAATCAGTCACAAATGTGGCCAAATTTTTGCCGATGCGATCATATTTTCACCATACAGTCACCGTTTGCGACTTAAGATAGCTCAAAAATTATGTACTTGAACAATTTTGAGTATGCTTAAAAATCAAAAAGCATGGTTATATACTCCTAATTCCGGAAAGATTCCGAAGAGGTATAAATGGCAGTGCAAATCGCATCATGAATTCAAAGCTTACTGCGTTAGCATGCACTATCTGCATGGGGTTCTGGTACATGTACGAGTCTATGTTGGTTGGTTCCCGATCTAAACATACATTGTTGGTGCACTGTGCCACTGTGATTTAGAATGTTGGCAATAGCACAATTCATGCGGCAGGGTGTCCCGTGACATGCTGAAACTACGGACGACATGATGTGCATGTATACGTACGTTCATAAATAATCACCGCACATGGAGATTAGTAGCGCAGTTCTGTCAAATCTCTGTACAATTAATTAAGTTACCATTTTGAACTTACCATATTGATTATTGCATGTACTAATTGTACATAAGTTTTACTCTAGACTAAGATCAAAAGTTATTGCTGCCTTTTGCTGGAGACAATATTTTTCTTTCGGTGCCAATTCATTACTTACATTCATAAAAGTGCTGGCACCTAGTTTTTTTTCCCATTAGGAGCCAGTAGCTGCCAAATCATTTTTTTTCTTTTTAAAGGGTTGGCCTCAGTAGAGGTCTTTGAGGAATTTGCGCTGATGGAACATAGTTTGGAATACCAGAGAGGGGCCAAGAAATAGTCAAATTTAGCAATCAAGCCGTGCTTTGGTTGACTTGCTGCATCTAATTTCTTGAGTCTTCTAACTGAATAATTTCCTGCTAACAAGCCTTATTTCATGAATCTCCTCAGCCAAAAGCAATCAGGCTTAAGGCCAATGTTTTTTAACATGGAAGTGGCAAGCCAAGTTAGTTGTAAGCGTTTGTTCGAATGCCAAGATTATCACCACTGAGAGTGGTGAAATTTAATTAAACTTCACCTTCAAAGCACTTCCTGTTGTATGGATCGGTAAGTCAGAAATATTACTTAGCAGATCTCTGAGCTAGGGAAAAAAGGAACTGGAAACCTGTCTTGGGTATTTTTGGATCATGGCCTATTTTTTATAAGTACATGTATTCATTTACTTTGGTAAGCAACTCTCTGTGCTAAGAACCTGTCTAAAGTTGGGCACTGGTTTCTGCGGTCAGCTGCATTAATCAGGAAAATGGTGTTTGTCGTCAAGACAGGAAATGAGTCATTAGAATAGAGGGCATGTGAGTGGAATGTGTTGTTTTGTTTGTTTGAAGGCCCTCATGGTTGGCGATGACATTGTTAATGACGTAGGCGGGGCACAGAGTTGTGGCATCAAGGGCGTTCAAGTCAGGACTGGAAAATTCAGGTACGGATGGGGTTTCAACGAGTGACTTTGATCATGAAAATTGATGATGGGGAGGGGCTCGCATACTCACATACTGAAAGGAAACCAGAAACTGTAGGTATTATGTCCAGTAGTGTTTTTCTAAAACATTCTTTTAAAAATCCTTACTCTAAAAGTTTTTGCCTTCATCCGCATTAAAATGTTGTTTTGTCAATTTATTTTTGTGAGCTTGCTGGAAATGTTCAGGTTTTAATGGATGCCCTTTAACGATTGATGTAATGGGGCCGTTGTAACACTTGTTTCCATAACAGATTGGTTATTGGTGTGTTTTTTGTGGCTTTCTCCATACAGACCATCTGATGAGAATCACCCTACTGTCAGACCAGACGGGTTCGTAGACAACCTGGCCCATGCTGTTGATATCCTCCTGAAAGCCCATGCTCAGTGATGCGAGGCTGGGATAGCCATGTCTGTTGACCACACCAAGATGAAATTCTCCGAGGCCGATACACCAGCTCACAAGACGTGCTCTGAAGCCTTGCCTTGCATTTGGACTGACAAATTGCAGGTTCTGGATGCGCTGTTTTGGATTTTGAAATTGGTGTGAAATCAGCAGCAGAATTGACCTAGTCGGGGTGTGACTTGAAAACATTTACACTAATAATAAACAAGGGATTTTGCTGTCAGAGGATGTAAGTATGCTGGAACATGCAGTCTAGTGGTATGAGTTAGTTACACAAGCACCAGTTAACTGCATAGACAAACCCATTTGTCAAGCAAAATGTGGAACAGGTTGAATTAAGAATATATGAAATTACTACTTCAAATTGGATCTTTCACTCACTTAATGTACACACATTTGCATGGTTAATCTTATGTCTAGAAACAGAATTTGAGATCTTTAACAAATGTGCAAATGTGCCTCTTGCAATAAACTTTTGATTATGAGAAAAAGTATATAACACTAGGGACCCATGAACATATACATGTAAATTGTTAAAAGGAAAATTCAAGATTTCACAAATGAACGAGTACCAAGTGTCAAAACACATGTCAAGGGTCTTCAAATTTACAACGTCAAGATATCAGCATTAACAGTACAATTTATGTCCGACACCTACGTGAACCCCAGAATTACATAACTAGTCCTAGGAATTATGTACACCTAAGACACAGGTTCTAATTGGGTAAAGCAGGCATCCCGGTGGTCAAGATGGGCCAATTACAGTCCATAATCCATACTGCATTGGCGGGGAATTTTAGGCGTTTCTCCAAGTGAGGCCTTTCGTCCCAGTCGAGGCAGGGGAATGGCAGAGACTGGGTTTTTTGGGGTTTTGTTTTGTAACAAAGTCAAACCAGGAAAAGATAGACAGGGAGTACCAAACAGGGACAGGTGTTGGAGTTTAGGGGGTTGCAAACATGCCAGAAACAGCAAATAAAATAATTATGAATTGCAGAGGGTTTGTTAGTAAGTCGTGCATTTCAAACTAAATTGTAAACATTTTTTAATTTAATTATTTGTCAAAATTTGCAGTTGACAATGTTAGAAGTTTCACATATATTCATACGATCTGATGTTTCAATCCTAGCTTCTAATTTCGCCAAGTAATGTGTTCAAGTTTCAACCAACACAGTTGAAGTTTTAGTGACACATACATGATATTAAATTGAACATTTGGAAGCATAAATATAAAGGTTTGCAGATATATGTCTGACTGAAATATACTGAAACACATGCAAGGTCTGAATATTTTGTGTATGCTCTTTCATTCAACATATTGAAATTTCTGTTTGTTATTTAAATACATGCAAATGTTCTGTGCCCCCTGACCTTTTTTGATATTGCGCAATCCTAACCTTTAAATATAAGTTCCGAAATGTTATTTATCAAGAGGCCTGTGGCCTGGTGGTTAGCTAGCTGGCTGCCAGGCCAGGGGACCCCGGTTCAAATCCCGGGGTCCCCGGAAAAGGAGGTTTTTTTTTTTTTTTTTTTTTTTTACTAAGTTTTTAAACAAAATTGTGCATGCCCACCTGGGATTGAACCCAGGTCCTTGTGCATAGCAGTTAGTGTTCTTAACCACTATGCCACGGCACTTTCTTGATGAAATGTGCTCGTTTCTAAATGTTAAACCTTCCATTGTTTGGACTTAGAATATTTTTCAGCCAAACTGTGTACTGGAGATGTGCAAGGGTGGAAGTCCTAGGGGCTGGAAGTCTGAGAGCTGATAGGAAGGTAGAGTGGATGGCTGAGGGCATGGGACTGTCAGTATTAGAGCTCTGAGGATCCCATGAGGTTGAAGGACATAGCGTCTTAATGTTCCATATTGCAGTTGGGTTTATTGTAGCCCATATAAGATTGAGACTAAAAGGCTTGAGCAGGGAACTTTATATAAGGAGCTTGGAAGAAAACTGGCAGGGCTTAGGATGGGGCTGCAATGTAAACTCTAAAGATGGAAACAGATGTGCGTTAAACTCTGGCAGTGTACCATGGTCCAGATTAGGAGAAGGGTCACCAGGCAAAGTACTACAGTTTTACAAATAGATATACATGTACAAACAAGTTCTGCTAGTTTAAATGAGCATTTATTTCACTTGCAAATAGAAATTAACTGGTTATACATGTAGCATTAAATGGTGATTGTTTGACATACACACAAAGGATTTTTGTAAGGTAATATTTTCAAATGAAACAAATTTCATGTCATTGCGAAAAGGTCCTTAGAATGCACTAAAAGGTGTCAAGTGAAAAATATTGTTTTAGGCATTAATTTGGGAAACAGAATTGGTTAAAATTTAAACATGTTGGCTGCAAAAAATAGTTTTATGACTAAAAAATAAACTGTTTAAATCAAATATTTCTTTCGTGCACAGAGTAAGGCCCTTGGAGTGTTTCAAAAATTACATTTTTGCAGTAATGGCCTTTCAACACTGAGCCAACAATTTGCAGTTTTGTGATAATTTTAAGTGAAAGACTTTTTTCTAATGCTATGGCAATGTGGATGTACAACCTGGAAAATACAAAACGCACATGGAATTTTGTTCCAGGAAACTGACTAATTGTCTATTCAATTTACAGAGTACCTCCTTAGTCATGAATAATTTAGATGTAAGTTCTTCAGTACAATGTCGCAATACTGAACAATGCGGTATACGGAACATGCCTCTTGGCTCCCAAATTTTCTGCACACATTTACTGAACATCACAAATTTGTTTTAAATTAACATAGACACATTTCAACATAGGAAATGGCACCCTCTCTATTTTAGCAAACAGTGCCCTCTTTGCCAGAACTTTTCCCCCTTTTTGATGGAAATCGGAACATTTTGATTTTTAGGCCTATGAAAATGCGCCGATTGCAACAGTACCATTGAAATTGCAATAGTTTGGGAGGTATGCTACACCAAGCATTGTGAAGGGACCCCTTCCCTATTCATTATAGCAGCATTGTACTGTATACCAATATACATGTACACTACTCAAAAAATTAAAGGATCAGACATTTGTCTTTGAAAATTTTCAGGTGAGTACCTCATTGACTTTACTTATTGTACACTGAAGCTCATGTTCATGGTTGGCTGAGCACCATAGAATGTGAGACAATGCAATTGGTTTGTAGTGTTTCAGAGCCCAATTAACCGGAAGGGTCAAAAAGCATTGGGTGATGTGTACTGCTCAGGTATTGCACAACTTCAAAATGGCCACCTTTCACTCTCTGTGCACATAAATTAAGGACGGCATGACTCTGAGGCAAGGGGGTGAGAGACTGGGAGTGTCTTAAAGAGTTTGGGGGGGGGGCAATGACATGAGACTGGCCAGTGCTATACAACCCTATTGTGGTAAAATGATGTACGTGTATGTGTCTAAATTTAGGACATTCTGAGGAAAAGTTACTTAAATATTGGACCTCTCTATACTCATAAACAGTGCCCTCACATTACCACGATATCATTCTAACTCATAAACAGCGCCCTCACATTACTTGGTTAAAACTCAATTTTTATGCATAATTTTCAGAATCGAAAGGACCTTGGCAAGGTGCTGACCAAAGTTTTATTTCAGTGTCGAAAGACTTCAGTATTCTGTACCGCAAGTTTCTTGTTTTGATCCCAGAAAATAGCCAATTTAAGTGACGCTCATTGTTTGTAATATGAATACCATATGTTTCAATTATTAATCACTATGTATGATCCTTTGGTCCTTTGAGTAGTGTACAAATGCAGCTAGACGTGTTCCATCACTAAGGTGGAAGCAAGGAACTGCATCTCTGAGAAGACTGAGTCCTTTCCTTGCCTTTTTGTGAATCAATGCCTAAGATTCTGAAGAGGATCCCTCATGCAATCTTGGAAACTGTTCCTCCTCAGTGATGGAGGCGTGGACTGCCATCTATCTGAGTTACTTCCTCTCCTTGACATTCCCATGAATCATCTCTGTGAAGTCCTATAGGATCTTGTCCTCCTCCTTCCTTCTCTCCAGGTTGAATGCGAGGGCGCTCTTCTCATCAGCATCATGGTCTGCTTCTCCTGGGGCATACCCACAGCTTTCGTATGAGGAGGTCTGGGGAAGAAATTAATCACAAAAGGAACTAAGTTGCAGCAGAAATTGAGACATTTCTTCAAAAATTATAGGATCCTTGTACGCCCATTGTTTTTTTACACCTTTTATTTCATAAAATAAACTGTTAGTGTCTATTGCTTTTTATTCATTTTCATGTCAGAAAATGAACTATGACAAAAGGATTCCTCTGACACTGCTGACCCATTACTTCTGAAAGCATTTCTGATTTATACGCTTTGTTAAAAATATTTTTCCAGACACCCCTTTAGGATTTAGTGAATCAAAAAATGACATTTTTAACACTTAAAATTGTCTTTCCCTTTTCCCTACAAGTGAGGGCGCTGTTTTACAGTAATACTGTAACGTCAATCAGGGAAGACCACAAACCTAAAATATCTATGGACCAAAAGCTCCTACAGAAAACGATTGATCCCAAAAGTGTGGGCAGAAATATTTCAACAGTGTGCACAACTCGTAGGAGTTGGATACAAATCAGAAACTTTGGATGGTGACTGATAATACTGTTAAGTGTTTACAACATGGTCCCTTTTGTCTTTTGGTTCTGGGAGAGGGGACAAATTTGATTCTGGGGGCCAAATTTAATTTTTAAAATTGTTTGAGGGTTTAAGCTACATTTTCACTTTTCAAAAGAAGGGAAATTAAATAGACCAAAAAGATCCTTGCATTTTTTTCAAAAGAAAACAGTTTTTGCTCCTTTTTAGGACATGAGCCCAATTGGCCCCTCCCCCTTCCCAGATTCATCCTTGCAGAAAGCCAGCAATGATATGAAACACAGGACTCTTACCTGTCCTACTTATGATGTAACCTGCCTCTTTACTTTGGAGATATCATTGGTCAGTCCACTTGCACCATGACGCTAGCTACCCTCAACGTTCATGTAGGCAGCAGCCATGGCAGTACATTCACCTGGCAATGAGACCTTGCCAAATCTAAACACAGGGAAAAATGACAAAAACCAACCAAAAGGAAAAGGTCACCTAAGGTTTTTCAGTCACACTGTAATAATATTTCTTTCCTCAAATGAGCAAAACATCCATGTTTCAACCCATCACCACATAGACTCTTACTGTGGGTCACTGTTAAATCCGTAAAACCATACAGTGCTGGGGAGTGCAGGGTGTAACAGGCTGGGTGGGGTCAGGGCCCAATTTCATGGAGCTTCTTAACACAGAAGAAAAATCGGGCTAACTTTAGCAGAAAAATATGCTAACCTTGAGCACTATTTCAGGGCGGTGCTTGGGGTGGTTGTGCTAATGATTGCGTTTGGACAGGCAGGGGATCAACCACTCTGCTATCACCTTACTCTATCAGGCCACGATGTCAGAAGATGAGCCCACAGGCAGGGGACCAACCACGCTGCTATCGCCTTACTCTATCAGGCCAGTGATGCCAGGAGATGAGCCTACAGGCAGGGGACCAGCCACTCTGCTATCACCTTACTCTATCAGGCCATGATGTCAGAAGATGAGTCCACAGGCAGGGGACCAGCCACTCTGCTATCACCTTACTCTATCAGGCCATGATGTCAGAAGATGAGCCCACAGGCAGGGGACCAGCCACTCTGCTATCACCTTTAACACCTGGCAAAAATACAGTAACAAAAAGGTAACAGTTATGTCTGTATGCACTCTATTAAATGTACATTTAGTTTGGGCATGTCCCCAGCAGGGTTGTGGGTTTTAAGGCGATGTCCAAAAGGTGTGGCTGAGGCTAGATGATTAAAGCCACAAGTGAGTGGCTTCAGTCATTTGCCACAGACTTATGTAATTCTGTCAGCCTAAGCCAGCTGATTCGGAAAGGTCCATCTTTCAGCCAGTTGACACATGTACAAACAACAGGAGGTACCCAATGACTGCTTTCTCAACTAAACAAATTGTGAAAACTCTGGCTGTGTAAGTGGAAATTTCTTGAAGAACCTCTGAATTTTACCCTAAAGAGCTGGGGGAAGGGAGAGGGAATCTACGCCCCTTTAACATATTTTCCAATATCATCAAGGTACATATTATCCTTCAAGAAGCCTTCTGGGTTTTTTAATAACTCGTTTCGGTCATTCTGACACCATTTTGTGAAAATCCAAAACCTGTTCTTGCGCAGCATCTTGTTTCTGAGAGAAGACAACCAGGAATGTATACTTTTCCCCTGCCATTCCCAACTTCCAAGTGAAATGGAATTCTTACTGAAATGTACATGTAGGTCTATCCACCTTGAGCAGAAGCACCCCCTCATTGGTCAAAAAGAGCCATGTCATGCATGTTGGTGGGGAGAGTTCATTTCCTAGTAGTGACGCAACCGTGATGCGTGTACTTCATAGTCTCCTCTGGTGCAGTTCCCACCAGAGGAGCCTTTGTTGCTGGGAAAATTGTGCCCTCTCATGGTCCCACCCAGGTCTCATACATGTACATAACCCTAACTGAAAAGACCGAAAATACCGTCCAATCTGGGCTAGGTGACAGGTCCAGGCTGAGAATATGAACATGATTGATGGGGAACAAATATCTGCCATGTTCAGGAGGTTTACCCCAAGAGCTGTGGGGTATTCCTGCAGGATGTTTTGAAGTCACTAATCTGTGTGACTTGCAGTCATGTTTGTTTATACGGGATTCAGATATCATGACCGGTGATGCAAATTCAACTTTTTCAATCAAATTTTCACATGAGAGCAACCTTAAGAGCTACATGTATAGCTCTTGAAAACTGCGTAATTAACTAAGTGTGTTGAAACTAGCTTGGAAGATTTTTATTCA